CTTCCGCACTGCGCCACATCATGTCGTTGATCTTTCGCGTGCGAACGCATCTCTCCGCAGCTGGTTTGAGGGTCGACGTGCATCGGTTGTCACTGAATTCAGTCGTGCCTTTTCAGCCGCGTTGATGCGTACTCTGATGCTGCGACGGTTCGCTGGCGTCTTCGTGCAGGACTGCGTCAGGTTTCTCGCTTACGGTCTCGTTCATACCCGGCAGACACCCTGGGCTCTCTGACACTCTTCTTGCACGGAGTCAAGATCCCCACTGCCTTGTGGTCGTCGGACCGGACGCGACCCTTGACTGGGGGTGTGCATCGCGCCATTTTGGCAGCGTCATTCCTGCTCCCTGGGTGCCTGTTTCCCCTCGGACTCCCTGGGCTGCAGCTTGCACCGCCGCCTGATCCGCGGCCCCCGCGCGCGCCCGGCTAATTTGTTACGGCCGCAGCCCGACCGTGACCTCCCGCCGCCGGCGCTTCCGCCTGCGGCTGTAAAAAAAAAAACAAGGTATCCCCACCAGTTTCCGCTTCCGCCCCTGCTTCTCCCTCCGCGTTCCCCCCCGGTCTTTCGCTGTCCTGCGCCTCGGGAGCTGGCGCCACTGTGCGACCTTCCGCTGGCCTTCGTGTCCGCCGTTGTCCCTGTCCGGCTTAATGTGGCTCTTTTTAATTATCTGGCGTGTTTATTCATGCTCTTGCTTGCACTCCGGCGCTGGCTCTTGGCCCGCTGGTAATTATCTGGCGTGTCACCCCATGCTCGATACTACCCGCTCTCTGGAATCGTCCTTGGAACCGCAGAACCAAAAAGTATCCCCACCAGCGCCGCCCCGCCGCTTTAGGTTAATTCGTTGTTGCGTGCTCCGCTTTGACCTGACTCGCCGCTGACGCGCTCGCCTTCGGCCGCTGAGTAAAGAAGTATCCCCACCAGCCCAGTCACAAGTTCTGCCCATGAGAGTTGACGGGAACAGGGATGAAGGGACGATGTCGTGAAACAAAGCGGGCAACCAGGGTGAACAGAGAAGGCTTTGGGAACAATGGGGTGGCTTTGGGGGCCTCTTCGGGCCATCCTTGGGGCCCACGTGGGGGCGAGGGAAGGAGGAGGAGGAGGAGGAAGAAGACGACGACGACTGCGATGACGAGGAAGAGGAGGAGCAGGAACAAAAAACATGATGGGGCAAGGGTGGGGACGAAGAGGAGGAGGAGGAGGAGGAGGAGGAGGAGGAGGAGGAGGAGGAGGAAGAGGAGGAGGAGGAGGGAGGAGGAGGAGGAGGAGGAGGAGGAAGAGAAGGAGGACGAGGAGGGAGGAGGAGGAGGAGGAGGAGGAGGAGGAGGAGGAAAACAAAGCCATCATAATCGCGTCTTGGAGCCCTCATGAGACCATTTTGGGGGATCGTAGGGTCCTCTTGAGGCTCTTTTGGAGGGTATCGGGGCCCTCTTGGGGCCCTCTGGAAGCCCCCTTGGGGGTGCATTTTGGAGGCCATCGATCAACAGTTGGGGGGGGGTCCTCGACTCCAGCCCCCCCCCCCCACCGAGCCGTCGGAATCGCCTCTTGGGGCCCCCTTGGGGAATTCCTGGGCCGCGCCTGGGCGCTCTTGGGGCCGCCGGGGGCCTTTCTTGGGCCATCCTCGGGCCTCGCCCAAAGCGCATCGGAAGCGAACCGGCGAGAAGCAAGGCACCTCCTCCTCCTCCTCCGCCTCCTCCGCCTCCTCCGCCTCCTCCTCCTCCTCCTCCTCCTCCTCCTCCTCTGCCTCCTCTGCCTCCTCCGCCTCCTCCTCGTCCTCCTCCTCCTCCTCCTCCTCCTCTGCCTCCTCCTCCTCCTCCTCCTCCTCCTCCTCCTCCTCCTCCTCCTCCTCCGCCGCCTCCCCCTCCTCGGGGGGGGCGTCACGCAGCAGCACCCTGGGCGACATCACTAATACACCGGGCGCCCGGCCTGCTCGAGGACGCCGCCGCCGTCAGTTTGCCGAGGTTGTCTGGCCGTCACCCAATTGCTGTCCCTTAGGCGGTTCAAAGTCGTTGGCCCGTTGAGGGGTCCTGAAGGTGCTCTGAGAGCTCGTGGAACCGTCGTGTTGTCCTCGTCGGGCCTCTTGGAGATATGTCGGACGCTGTCTCGAACCATCGTCGGCTATCTTGACAGATCTTAGAGGCCATTTTGGATCGTCGGAGGCCCTCTTGAAGCCATCTTGGGCCACCTTGGGCGCTCTGACCGATCGCGCCCTCCCACCCACCTGAAACACCCCAGGGAGGGGGGGGAAACCTCCTGGAAAGGAAGAGGTTTTTGGAAGAACTTGCTAGACTACCTTAGCCCAAAGGGCTGGTGAGATTCACAAGGGATTGTTACTTGAGAAATGCCTGGTGGCATGATTTAGCAGGGATTGTGGCTTGTGGAGCGCGAGCGTGGCGTAATTTGCAAGATATTATAGCGTGGGGAGCACGAACCTGGTGACATCACTGGGGATTTTGGCAAGGGGAGCGCGAGTCTGGTGTACTTCACTTTACATTGTGGTTCTGGGAGCGCCAGCATGATGTAATGTATTGGTGATTGTGGCTTGGGCAGCGCGAGCCTGACGTAATTTGAGAGGGTTTGTGGCCTGGGGATCGCGAGCCTGGCGTACTTTACTTGCGATTGTGACCTGTGGAGCGAGTGTCTGGTGTAATTTGCGAGGTTTTGTGGCCTCGGCACGAGGCTGGTAGAATTTTCAAGGAATTGCTACTTGGGGAGTGCCTGGTGGCCTAATGTACCAGGGATTGTGGCTTGTGGAGCGCAAGCGTGGCGTAATTTACAAGAGTTTGTGGCGTGGGGAGCCTCAATCTTGAGTACTTCACTGGGAATTGTGGCAAGGGGAGCGCGAGCCTGATGTACTTTACTCGGGATTGTGGTTTGTGGAGCGCGAATGTGGAGGAATTCGAAAAGGGGTTGTGGTTTGTGGAGCGCGAGCGTGGCGTAATCCACAAAGGATTGTGGCTTGTGGAGCGCCAGCCTGGTGTACATTACCAGGGATTGTAGTTGTGGAGCGCGTGTTTGACGTGTCTCAGAGTCCCCCATAAATTCTAAGCACGTGTTGCTGGCGTGATTATCAGCCCCCTCCCCCCTCGCGTGGTTAAAAGCAGTGGCACTAAAATCAATGATACGAGATTTTCATAGCTTGAAAACCAGGAAGGGATAGAGAGAGAGAGAGAGAGAGAGAGAAATAAAGAAATAAAGAAAGAGCGTAATCAGCGACTGCGTCCTGGGTATGGGTCCCGAAGCTCGTCCATCTTGCGGATCCCGTGTGGGTCATTTGTGTGGGTCTTGTGTTTGTACGTGTGCGGCTCGCACCTTGGTTCTGCGCCCGGAAGGGCGTCGTGCGAGACGCTCGCTGGCACACCGCTCTGCGGGACGCCTTCCAGAGTTATGCACTTGGTGCCGCTGGCAAGGGGACAGTTCCGACACTAGCACGCGGTCCCTTCTGCCGTTCATCGGGCTGCGCCCCTACAGTCGGAGCGTTTTTTTACACTCACCTCTTTCATTGCATTGCACGGTCGTCTGTGCGTGCAACCCCTCCTGCATCAGCACTTGCATGGCCCTCGGCATCTTCCACGTGCATCCGCTTCTGCGGCTTTCATTGCATGTGCCAGCCACGTCCTGACCACCCATCTGCAAGGCCACATGGTAATTGAGCTAGGCGTGATTCGCTATGGTACACACTGCGATGACGTCCACATGGCCGCTGACCGAATACATATATATATATATATATATATATATATATATGTATCGATATGTACACATATACACGCATATATCTATGTATGTATGTATGTCTGTGTGTATACATGCATGCATGCAAGCATGTATGTATGCATGTATGTATGTATGTATGTATGTATGTATGTATGTATGTATGTATCTATTTTATATATATGTGCATGCGTGCGTGCGTGCGTGCGTGCGTGCGTGCGTGCGCGCATGTGTGTGTGTATGGGTGGGGCGGTCTTGTGTGGGTCCTGAATGTGGGTCCTGTGTGGATTTTGCGTATTGGCCCCAGACGGCCGCTGTGTTAGTGGGCCCACACACGCATAGGAATTACATAACACCGTGTCTCGCTATGAGGAGGTATGGCAATGCAGTTACAAGAGAGCTCTCAAACCAAAAGGTCTAATGGAGGAGGCTAGCCATGAGACGACAGCATACATACAGTCAACCCGCACAGTGAGGATGGGCAACCTTCCCAATGGTACCCTCGCATCCTTGCCTCCTCGGTCCATCCTTGGCCGCTTTCGTTGGCCGCGCCCCGCCCGAGAAACGTCGAAACGGGCGTCCAAGGCCCTCGCATCCTTACCGCGCACCCTTATGATACGGCCGACTGTATATGATCCAGGGTTGTCCCCCCCCCTCCCCCCCATTGCGTGTGGATTCGAGCCCCCCCTCCGCTGGATGGGTACGCCCGTGAGCCTCGCGAAGGCCTCGCGAATGGGATCGCTCCCTCCCCCCCCCCCCTACGGTCGTGGCCCTGTGGGCGTGGCGTAGTGGAGGGTGCCGGTCACCAACCCCCCTGTAGGTGTGGGGTGGTTCGTTGTCGTCGTCGTCGTCGGCATCGTCGTCGTCGCCGTCATGGTCGTGGTCGTGGTCGGCGTCGTCGTCGTCGTCGTCGTCGTTGTCGTCGTCGTCAATCGGCGGCGTCGTCGTGCGTGTGCGTTGGCGTCGGCGTCTTTGGCGTCGACTTCGGCGTCGGCGTCGGCGTCGTCGACGTCGGCGTCGGCGTCGGCGTCGGCATCGGCGTCGGCGTTGCCCTTGGCGTCGTCGTCGGCGTCGGCGTCGGCGTCGTCCCCCCCCTCATCCCATCTGGGGGGAGGGGGGCGGGGCCTGTGGAATTATGGGGCCCATCCCATCTGCGGGGGTGGGCCTGTGAAGCCCTCGACCTGGGATCATCTATTGCCAAGTGGTCGAAAGTCATAAGGCGATTGAGTTGGACAGGCCGAGCGGTGCGAGACGTCGTCTGCAGTCCCATCGATGCGACCCCTGCTTCGCAGGCTCAAGCTGGAGCGGGAGCACGGCGACGCCCCGAGTGCGGAGGCATCGCGCGAGGGAGCGGGATGACATGAGGGAAGCGAGGGGAGGGGAGATGCGCAGCAGGGAGGTGGAAGGGGGGTGCAGGGAGAGGTCTGGTGGGTGCGGAGGTAAGCGGAGAGCGTCAGTAGGAAAGGGAACCGCAACCAGGATCTGGAGTTCGAGGGGCGGAGAGGGAGTCGGGCGGGGCTATCGGACGAGGATACATCCGTTCCAGAGCGTTCTGGGACGCTCTCAGAGCGTTCTGGAACGCTCTGAGAACGCCGCGGTGTTCGATTCATCCCTCAGATCCGCCCGGATCTCAGAGATTCTCGATTTATCCTCACCTGATTTTATCTTCGTCCTGGCCTCGTCTTAAGGAGGGAGGGGAGAGATCGGAAGGGATGGGCGAGGGGCGGTAGCGAGCGAGTCGGCAGGCGAGCGTCTGGGGTCGGGAAGAGGCGCAGAGCCACGGGGAGCAGGGCAGTGCTCGGGGCCAGAGGTGCGCGAGGCTTCGGGCTGCTCGCGCTGCCAGCCCGCGGGAAGCTCCTGGAGCGGGACGTCGAGAGGTGATTGGCTTGGCAGCGCTCGGACGTGTGCATTTTTTCTCGGCGAGAACCATCGAGGAGCATCCTGGACTATCGAGCAAAAAAACACGCACGAAACCGACAAATGCACGGAAAATGGACATCCGAGCGACGGCATTGGGCGACGCGTAATGGGGGGGGCGACTAATGGGGGGGGCAGCAGGGCTGCAGGGAAGGGGCCCTCATGGGTCCAGAGGGGGGCCTTCAGGGCCCGAAATGCACACCCTTGTCTCCCCCCCCCATATATCGCTCCCCCACTTAAGAGACGCCAAAGAGGATGGTTCACGGTAGCTCATGTCGGACGGGGCTAGGACGAGGACAAATCCGTTCCAGAGCGTTGTGGAGCGCTCTCAGAGCGTTCCGGAACGCTCTGAGAGGGCCGCGGCGCCCGAGATATCCTCCATAGCCGCTGGATCTCGGAGACTACCGATTAATCCTCGCCCGACGTTATCCTCATGAGGAAGAGGAGGAGGGGGAGGAGGAGGAGGAGGAGGAAGTGGATGAGGACGAGGAATAGGAGGAGGAGGAGGAGGAGGAGGAGGAGGAGGAGGGGGAGGAGGAAGTGGAGGAGGAGGAGGAGGAGGAGGAGGAGGAGGAGGAGGAGGAGGACGAGGAGCACGAGGAGGAGGAGGCGGAGGAGGCGGAGAGGAGCACGAGCACGAGCACGAGCACGAGCACGAGCACGAGCACGAGCACGAGCACGAGCACGAGCACGAGCACGAGCACGAGCACGAGCACGAGCACGAGCACGAGCGACGAGCACGAGGAGGAGGAGGAGGAGGAAGAGGAGGAGGAAGAGGAGGAGGAGGAGGCGGAGGAGGAGTCATTTCGTCGATTCTGAGCAGGTCGGGTCTGCAGTTTTCCTTCTCGCGCCCTCGGGCCAGGAGGCCGCGTACCCAGGCGGGCGGCACGGTCCTCGCGGCCGTCTGCGGTCCAGAGGATGAGATTTCGAGGCCGCTGCGGGTGTGCAAGGCTGAGCGCCACTACCTCCTCCTCTCCCGTCCCCCTCCAATTCCTTCTCCTCCGCCTCCTCCGCTTCCGCCTATTCCTCCTCCTTCCTCTTCCCTCCTCCCCGTCCCCCTCTCCCCCTCTCCTCCTCCTCCTCCTCCTCCTCCTCCTCCTCCTCTTCCTCCTTCTCCTCCTCCTCCTCCCTGCGGGTGTGCAAGGTTGAGCGCCACCAGTGGCCTGGGATAGGCCGGTATCGAACGATCTGCGCTATCGGACAGCCGCGATCATTTAAGCTTGAAAAATCCGCGCGGTGTCATATTGATTATTGGAGCTGGCCGTAGATTGATGGAGCTGCTGAGGTACTCTTGATGTTCTTGGTCCCACGCTGGCCATGAAGGGTTCCGATTATCCCGACTCACGAAGCAGGGAGTTGAGTCAGGCTTCTCGGGAGGGTTCCCATCATCTTTTCGAGAGAGCAGATTGAAATTGAGGGGGAGATTGAGGGCGTGGTATTGGACTATGGATGGAGACCAGCCCAGGATATTGACAGCGCGGTCCAGTGAAGACCCAGGGCATGAAACAGGATATCTCGTTATGTCGTGAAACACCGTGTAGACGAGACGCGGTCTTCGTACACATCATTTCCGGCACGAGGGTGTACCGAGATAATCCTGCGTGAAACGAATTTGCGTTTGCGCCCAATTCATGTTTGGCCGCCTTTTGGTATCTAGAAGATGTTGCGCGATCCGATTCCCCATCGCAATTTCTGGCACGTTCCTGCAGGAGGCAATCTGTCCTTTTTGAAGCTGAGGCCATCGCCATGAACGATTGTGCTCAAGCGCTGCCGCTGTTCATCTCGCAGAGCACGCGGTTCGTCCACATCTTGACTTTCGGCCGAGGCAAGCATAATGCAACGAAGTGAGATCGAGGGCGCGACGAGGCCGAGGAGAGGCTGGAGAGGAGGAGTGGGAGCGGCAGGAGTGGCCAGGCAGACGAACGGCAGCTGCGGGCACGAGGGCGGGGCGTCTTGGAGTTGCTTCTCCGCTTCGGGTGGCCTCACAGTGCTAGTGGCACTGCGATCTGATTCCCACGGCGAGCCGCTGGGTGTGATCTGCGTGGCTTGCTCAAAAGGGTGGGGCCCTGGACCTCCTGGGCGTCCTGGAAGCACGGAGCGAGCGCCGTGGGGCACGGGGCGGTGGCGAGGGCCAGGCGACCGTCCGTGTCCGAGCCATCGCCTCGCGCGTCGACGTCTTGCGGCTGTCTCGTCTCGTGTGCCCGAGGCCCGTTTAGCCCCGCGTCGCCCGACCGCCGGGGTGCAGCGGCCCTGCCTCTCCGCCGACGAACGAACAAGCGTCTGAGGCCCAGGGCGCGGGGCCGATGTGAGGAGGAGGAGGAGGAGGAGGAGGAGGAGGAGGAGGAGGAGGAGGAGGAGGAGGGGGAGGAGGAGGAGGAGGAGGGGGAGGGGGTGGGCGGCGGACCGCGCGAGGCAGTCGAGAACAGGCTGCCGAAGAGGGTCAAGAAGAGGCGGAACGTCCCGGGGGCCGAGCCTGGGCAGGAGATCGTCGAGGAGCCCTCGCCAGCGCGGCCAGGCATTGCCAGCATGTGAGCGTGGGCTCGCTGTGCATTCTGCAGGGATGGCCCCGGCGCCCAGCTTCCGGCTTCAGTCGTGGAGGGAAAGGGTCGATCAATAATCCCAGTGAGCGTTGGATGGCACAGGGCCTTTGATTAACCATGAACCCAGGAGAATAAACCCCCAGGGATAGGAAAGTTCGGGGTTTTCGGGGAGATAATAAAAGTTGCCCGCCAGAGCCAGCATAAAGAGATATCAAGAGGAAAAAGCCAAAGATATCTTGAGGATCCTTGGTCTTTGGTCCTCTATGATACATCCTCAGCAATGATTTGTCTCGGTTGAGACATCCTCAACGAATTGCTTGTTTCGCTTGACACAGCCTCAAAATATTTGTCTGTTTCGCTTGAGACATCTTCAAATTATTGCTTATTTCGCTTGAGACATCCTTGAAATCATTGCTTGTTTCGCCTGAGGCATCCTCGACAATTCTCGGAGTTTCTATAGAGGTTCCTCATGTGCCTCGTTTTCCCAGGATAATCAACCACAGCGATAAACAAGTTCAGGTGGGCAGGGGGAGGAGAAGAAAGATAGAGAGATACATAGAAATATAGAAAGAGAAGAGGAGGTAGAGGAGGAAGAGGAGGAGGAGGAGGAGAAAGAGCAAGAGGAAGAGAGGAGAAGGAGATAGCAACAATCCAAAGTTTAACACGTATTATATTTAATTTGTAAGCGCTTAATGAAAATTAACATTTTCATCTGCTCGTGTAAGGTAGCTCACGTGCCTCGTTTTCCCAGGATAATCACCCCCAGCGATAACAAGTTCAGGGCGCCAGAGGGAGGAGGAGGAGGAGGAGGAGAAAGAGATAGAGAGACAGAGAGAGAGAGAGAGACACAGAGAAAAAAAAAGAAAGACAGAAATAACTACAAAGAGACAGAAGGACATTGGTTTCGCTTAAGCCATCCTGAAAAAAACGTGTTCGCTTCGCTTGATGTTGTTATCTCAACATAAGAAGGAAGTAACCTCGATGGCGAACTTTCCCCGTGATAATGAAGTTCGGCCTCCGCGCCCTCCGCCTCTATTTGAAAACCGTCTAGGCCGACGATAAAAATCTCAAACGACTTAAGGGGGGGGGTACTTTATTATCCTGGGTTCTCGGTTACGCGGGTCCTCATGTGCCAGATCTGTTTGTGTTGTTCCTGCACTCCCGGCTGTATGAGGGCAGTTGCGTGGGCGCACGCGTCGTCGTTGCCTTGTCGCTTCACTGGCTGACTCTTCAATATATATATATATATATATATTATATGTATGTATGTATGTATGTATATGTATGTACGTAGTGTGCTATGTCGCTTGCACCGTGCGGTGCATTGTGGTGCGTCTGTACGCCGCGCGGTACTCTGCGATGGCTTTCTCGTCGGGGAGGCAGGGCAGGCGATGGCCTCTTCATGCAGCAAGCATATGAGACGAGATCGTGGGAAGGCTGGACAGAGAGAGAGGTTACGAGAGCCTTTCCAGCTTAGCTTAGCCATCACGGACATCACTTGCAGCGTTCATTTGAAAGCGAACGTTTTTTGGTCCAATACGTTTTCCTTTCAGTCCCCTAGCCAAGGTGGCGCGCATTGGAGAGACAGAGAGAGGGAGAGAGAGAGAGGGAGAGAGAGAGAGAGAGAGATAGTGAGACAGAGACAGCGACAGCGATGCAGACGCAGAGAGCGAGAGGCAGCCCTGTGAATTGGGACTCCACCAGGAGTGGTAGGGACAAAACACATGAGCGCTGCGCAACACATGTGCCGTTCGCGCTTACAATATACAATGGTGACACTTGTGATCTTGATATCGCTACCATGTGCTGTATCGCTGTGTCATGGCAATGTAGAGGTTCCGACGATGATTAGAAGCTCATGAGAAGCGGAGTTATCAGTGACACGAGCTTGATATGCCAGAGTCCAACACCCCTGGAGCAGAGGAGAAAGAGAATTCGACATGCCAACCGCGTTACTAGACATACTTACCAAGCATACTTGTGTACTACTCCCGCATGTAAGACGGATGTTGACAAATCCAACATGCTCACTCAAGCCGCCCATGAATGTGTTTTGGCGCCGCCCGAATGGGGATGTGCAACCCTCGCTTGGCATCGATGCAATGTTATGTCCTGTATTGGAGCGCCGCAGCGCCGCATCCTCTCCCAAAATATGAACATGCACGCGTAACATATCTTGCGTGATGAAACACAGGGATATCGGTCGAAAGTCGTGTGCTGATTCGTTGAATGAGGCTGCTTGGGCATACAGGAGACCCAAGATTACGTAACACGAGAGAGTTCGAATAAACACCAGATAGACACAGAGAGCGTTCCGTGAGCGGCTAGATCGAACGCTCGACATTACATCATCCATTGAACCGACCATGGGCAAAACAAGAATTTACGTAGAATCCTAATCCTAGCCTGAAGCCCAAGCGATTGGCGCTGCGAGGCGTGTCAGCAAATTGAGCCAGCGGCTTGAATCAGCGACTTGAGCCAGAGAGAGAGAGAGAGAGACAGAAAGTGAGATAAAGAGGGAGAGGGAGGGAGAACGAGAGAAGGAGAGAGAGGAGGGACACGTAAGACTTAAAGGAAACTATGTGTCAGTGGCATTGTGGCCCTGGAGGCAACGCGCCTGATTTCGATGGTCCCAGCGGATTTCGTAGGAAGGCTTTGACTACGACGTCTGAATCTGAACCTACAGCTTGGCATCGCTCGGACGTGTGCATTTTTTCTTCGGCGGGGACCATCGAGGAGCATCCTTGATCATTTGGCAAACACAGGGAATGGACGTCCGAGCGATGGCCAGAGAGTCAGTGTCTGATCAGAGTCCGAGTCAGAACTGGACATATGAGTCTCACGTTGAGTCATGGTCGTATGAGGTTGTCTGTGGGCCTGACTTTGAGAGAATTGTGTGGATCAGAGTTGATCAGAGACCCAATCGAGTCTCGGCCTGAGCGACTAGGAGCTGGGTCAGGATAGTGATTTGGTACATAAAGGGTCTGGATCTCAGCCAGTGCCGAATCCCCGATCCAAGTTTTACTCCAGACTTGAATATGAGAGTCTACACCGCGCTCTCTCATATACTGGAAGCCTGGCCCAAGGGGCCCCGGCTCGCAGCACACCAGAGGCCATTGATATAGAGTAAGAGCCCTCTCCACCCCCGCGCCCCCCCCAGGCCTCCCCTGAGCCTCCCTGGAGCTTCCCCGGCCCCCCCAGAGCTTACGGGTAGGTTCCACACAGGTCCCAGACGGGCCAACGTGGCTTCCAGACGGCCCAGATTGTGTCAAGACGGCCCCAGAGGCCCCAAAGACGCCCCAAGACGCCCTAAGACGGCTCCGAGAGAACCCCCAAGAGGGCCCGCAGAGGCAACAATTGTCCTACTCCCTTAGGAAAACGGACATTTCCAGCAAATTAGTTTTTGTTGATTTGGACCTCGTCCACGACGGCCCAAGAGGCCCCCAATGGAGCCCCAAGACGGCCAAAGAGGCCCCCAAGGCGGTTTCCAAGACGGCCAAAGCGGGCCCCAAGACGGCTCCAAGAGGCACCCAGCACCGCCCAAGACGGCCCCAAGACGGGCCCCAAGAGGGGCCCCAGGGCCCCGGGGTGGGTGAGAGATTTCGAGTGGACATTTCGAGGCCTCCGCCCCAAGAGGACCCCGAAGAGCGCCAGCAGGCTCCCAATGATTCACCAAGAGCAAGAGGCCCAAAAGAGGCTCAAGAGAGACTCCGAAAGGCGCCCCACGAGGCCTCGAAACAGCCTCCAAGAGGCTGCCAAGGGGCTTCCCCAGAAACCCGAACAGGCATTCAAGAGTTATCAGGCGGCCCCCGTAGAGACATACAAGATATGCCTTGCACGCCTCAGTGTCGAAGACGCAGGTATGCAAACACTCTCCCCCTCACTCCTCCTCATCCTCGTTCTCCTCCTCCCCCTCCCACTCCTCCTCGTCCTCTTTTGCTCTCTTCCTTACGCCCCCCCGCCACTGAACACCGTCTTCTCTCTCGCTTCGCGTCCTCTCTCTTTCATGCGCCCTCCTCTTTCATGCCCATTTTGCCTCCGCCTTCTCCGTCATTCAGCCCTATTCCATACTCTCCGTGTGCAGCTTCCTCAGGTCCCTCTCTCCTGCACTTTACCTACCACATTCGCCTTCCTGCCCTCCTCCATCCTCCTTTCCGCCTCGGTGATCTGGCCTCATCCCTTCTTCCTCCGCCCCGCCCCTCCCCGTCCCTCTCCTTTTCACTTTGCATCTCCCTGTCCTCCCTCTAACCTCCTCCTCCTCCTCCTCCTCCTCCTCCTCCTCTCCCTCCTCCTCCTCCTCCATCTCTCTTTTACGTCCGCCTCCTCCATCCACCGTCCTCCTTTCCCACTCCCTCCTCTGTATGTAGCTTTCGCCTGTTCCCGCCCCCCTCCACTCTGCCCGTCCTGCCATCCTCCCTCCCCCTATCCTGCCTCCCGTTACCATTAAGTCGGGCATGTCCCCCTACAGTGGGATTTTCGGCGAAAAATAAGAAGTACCCCACAAATAGTCCAAAAATAATCCAAACATAGTCCGGGGACTATTTTTTAGGTGTTGTTTGCCTTTGGGGGGTATTTTTGTGTTTTTATGTTTCGTCGAAAATCCCCCTGCGGGGGGACACGCCCGACGTAACGTTACCACCATCTTCCGTTCATGCGCCGAGTGCCTGACCCTGGGGGGGCCCCAGGCCGCAGCAGCCACGGGGCGTCCAGGGCCCTCGGAGTGGCGCGCCTCCCCCCCGTGGGGGCCTCCCGGGAGCCTCCCCGAGCTCCCGCAGGAGGCTCCCGGCGCTGTGCAGAACGTCCAGGAGGGCCCCGCAGTGGTCCCAGGAAGCGTCCAGGCTGCCCCAGGAGGCGTCCAGGAGTGATTACTCCAGATTTCGTAATAAAGGGAGGGGGGTCTCATTTCGGGAGGGGGTCTCTTCCAGGCTATCTTGGAGGGCCTGGGGGGGTCTAGGGACGATGTTTTGGAGGGTTCTCCCACGGGGGAGGTCTGAAATGGCTTGTCTTGGAGGGTCCAGACCCCCTCCCTTTTATTACGAAATCTGGAGTATCCGTAAGGGCTTCGCCCCCTGCCGCCGGCCCCCTCTCTGGGATAATGGGCAATGCAAGAGCGAAGTCATGAGGCCTTGGCGCCGCCGTGAAGCAGCGTGGGGACTTCACGCGAAGACGATGAGTAATCGCCAAGACAGATTGAGATGATGATGATATTGTTGACATCGGTGCTGTATTTCCGAGGGTATATGGCTTCGGATACGCGAATAGCGCGTAATTTACGAGAGTGTATGGCTTCGAGGTCACAAATATACGGTCATGTACGCAGGCTTATGGCTTCGGAGACGCGAGCATCGCGTAGTTTACGAGGGTGTATGTCTTCGGATACGCGAGTAGCGCGTAACTTATACGAGGGTTTATGGCTTCAGGGTCGCAACGATAGTGTAATTTACGCAGGACGCGAATCTTGTATAACTTACGAAGATGTATTGCTTCGGGCTCGCGAATATCGCATGAATTGCGAGCGTGTGTAGCCTCGCGGACGTAAGTATTGCGTACTTTACGGGTGTTTATAGCTTCGGGGACACGAATATGGCGTATGCTGCGAGGGGCTATGGCTTCGGGGACGCGAATATTGCGTAATTCGCAAGGCTTCATGGCCTCGCGGGCGCGACTATTGCATACTTTCTGAGGGTTAATGGTTTCGGGGACGCGAGCACCGCGTGATTTACAAGCGTTTGTGGCCTCGGAGACGCAAGTGTTGCGTCATTTATAATGGTTTATGGCTTCGGGGACACGAACATGGCGTATTTGGCGTTGGTGTATAGCTTCGGGGACGCGAATATTGCGCAATTCACGAGGGTCTATGGCCTCGGGGACGCGAACACGGTGTAATTTACGAGTGTTTATGGCCTCGGGGGCGCGAATTTTATATATTCTTACGTATCCCACGCCCCCCCCAGGAGTTCAGTCAACGCGATTCGGGCGTGGTAACTAGGTTCCTTCTCGGCTCCCCCCCCCTCGCGCGGTCCATCAGCAAGGAACAGTGAGCAGCAAGAAGCAGAATTGTAACAGTAGAAACTGGGAACTGGAACTGCAGGGAACAGCAAACCTTGTTCCTACAGCCTGGCGTTCCCACAAGGGTGCCGGCGGATACTGAGGTCCCAAGAGGCCGCCATAGTGTTGTCCGTCCAGGCTTTCAAGAGGGCCAAGTCAGTCAAAAACCAAACAGAATCCATTCGTTGCCAACGCGTGGCTCCACGATGGCCTCGGACGCACAGTTTTCTCGAAGAGAATTGCAAGATTGCCCAAGGAGAGCCCAGGACTGTCGCGAATACAGATCCTCAAGGCGACTTCAGACGCCAAGGCGTGCGCTTTCACGCCGAGGACCCGATCATCCGAACACGGCCCCTCTGACGCGCTAGAAGTTTGGCCCCATTGCAAGTGGAATTTGAGCGCGCGCGCGCGGGGGTTACTGGGAGTGCAGTGTCCGAAGAGGCCAGGTTGGCCGCACGTGAATCTCGACACGTCGGGGCAGCGTTGCTCGTAGCAGGTAGCGGTGACCATGGAGGTTGGTCGCGCAAATTGTCTGAACACGTCGCTTGCACACCACAGCATCCTGGCTGATAGCAGAAGGCCCAGGCTGCCTGGCAGGCGAAAGGCTCTTCCTATGCAGCAGCCGCAGCGGACACGGAGACCATGGCATGGTCTGTTTCGTCGTGAGCTCGGCTGGCAGGGGTCGGCCTGGGGCCCTCCTTTCATGACCGGCGCTCGGATCTCGTCCACACTGGTCATGCCAGGCGGTCAAGGAGGCTGATTGCAGGAGTCTGTTGCTCAGAGGAGGAAAAGGTACCCATACTGCCACCCTCGCCTCGTTATCCCCTTTTTGGGCCTCCTGGGCGGCCCTCGTCGCCACCGCTGGATTCGCCTCGAAGTCCTGGTCATAATGCGCCCCGGAGAGGTCCGGGGAGTGGCGGTATCGGTATCTTTTGCTTTCTCCAGTAGCGGCTCCCCTGGCCCTTTTCACAGGAGTACATGGATTACGTGTTCCCCGACGACAAGCCCGAACAGCAGAATTTGAAGATACTGGAGATGGCTCGTGCATGGAAGAAGCGGAGGGGCTGGGGGAGGCTGCGTCGGGGGGCTGATGGGATCCAGATCCAGGAACATGTTTATGTGCAGCCATGGTTCGGCTCTCTCAGTTTCTTCTGCCGTGGAAGGCACCATGCATGCTGCTGCGCGATCGTGTTGGAATCTGATTGCGGCCTCAGGACTACACATCTGCAGAGGTGTTCCGCTCCCTCCCCTCCAGCTGCATGTCTTTCCGCTTATTATTCTCCCCCCACCATCCGTCTGACCTTCTCCCCTCGCCTTCCTCTGTTCTCCCCTCGTCCCCTATGCCTCGGAGCATCCTCAAACCGGCCAGAACCTGCCGGAGTGGGCGACGCCGGGTCAAACCACAGAGAGGTGCGCGTTCGCGCGTTCCTTCGTTCGCTCCCCTCTGCCCAAGCCTTGCCCGCACTTCTTACTCTCACATTTCTTCCTCCTGTCATTCTTCCTCTTCCTCTGTTGTCCCTTCCTTCCTCTTCCCCCCGCCGCCCCCGCGCTGCCCTGGCATGCCTCGCCCCTGTCCCGTCCCGCTTCACGGTGAGCAGGGGCGACGACACCGCGAGCGCTAGGGAGGTAGCGCGTGCTGGCGACGGGGGTACAAAGACATCTCCGCGTTGTGAAACAAAACGGCATGTTTTCAGCAATTTTCGGCCTCGGTTTTTTCTGGGCCCTAGCACTGTCAAGCAACGATTCGGGATGAAAGACCGGTCCCCGGCAATGGGTCCCAGGGGGGTCCAGATCACGATTTGGGGGATCTTGGTATCTCGTTTCGTCGGCGATTGTAGTCAGGTCAGAAGGGAGCGCTCACACATGGGCAACGTTGCGAGGATCTGTGCAGGAGACACGCGCCACAAGTCCACTGCTCAGGCGTTAAGGCAGATGTTCCGAACGAAGTGAACCCCACCCTCCCCCTCAGAAATCGTGGGGGTAGGGATAGGGCTTGCATGTGGCCCCCTATTTTATGTATCTCTTCCCTCCCTCCCCTCCTCCCCTCCCCTCCCTCCCCTCCCTCCCCCCTCCCCCCCCTATTATATATCTCTTCCCCCCCCTCCCTTCCTCCCCTCCCCTCCCTCCCCTCCCTCCCCTCCCCTCCCCTCCCCTCCCCTCCCCTCCCCTCCTCCCCTCTCCTTCTCGTGCTTGCGGGGCGAGGCGCTCGGCCTCCCGGGACGCCGGCTGCCGCGCCAGCGCTCCTGCGCCGCCCCGTCGCGCGCAGGTCGCTCTCGTGGGAGGCCCACAGGCCGCGCCGGCTTCGGGGTCGCACCTCGGTGCTCGGTGGACTCGCTGGGCCTCGTGCTCCTCTGCAGCCTCTCCCCGTCGCTCCGGGGCCTGGGCTGCTTTGTTGCAGTGCGCGACCGCCCGGGGCTCCAGAGTCTGTCCCCGTGCCCGGCGTTCGTGCTCCCCTCTCCTCTCCTTTCCTTCCCTCTTTCCCCTTTCCTTCCTGCTTTCTCCTTCTTTCTCCTTCCTGCTTTCTCCTCCTTCTTTCCCTTCCTCTTCCCTTATTTCCCTTTTCCTTACTTCTTTCTCCTTCTTTCTCCTTCCTGCTTTCTCCTCCTCCTTTCCCTTTCTCTTTCCTTTTTCCCTTTTCCTTCCTTCTTTACTCTTCTCTCTCCTCCTCCTCTCACTGCGCCCCACCGTGTTGCTGAGGTGCTTGGCCGTGGCGAGCCTCGGCTTCCGCCCGCCCTGCTGCAGCGTCTTGTGGATTTGTTGTGCGGTCTCCCCCCTCGTGCGGGCCGGGCTGTGCTCGCACAGCTCGTGTCTGGTGCCAGCCGCCGTTCGGCCGCATTCGGCATCTCGTTCCTTTCTCCCTTGTTTCCCTCCTTTGCGCTCTCTGCTCTCTCCTTCTCGCTCTTTCCTCTTGTTTCGAATTTGGCACGCTCGCCCATCCTTCAGGATTCGGTCCAGCGCATGTGCTTGCCTTTCGCAGGTCGGCTCGTGTAGTGATCCGGGTTTGCCTGGCGACCTTTTGATTCTCATTGCGGTCGAGGTCGGGTCCAGTGAGTTGTTGTGGTCGCGCTTCCTCTTTCTGAATGATCATTGTATTCCTAACCTAATCGAGTATCCAGCTGCCTGGAGCAAGCCCCGCCACCACGCCAGTGCAGCAACGCAGCAGGAATGAGCTACAATGTTTGACGCTTCGCGTGCCCCCGCCAGCCTCTCCGGCGGTTGTCCCCCCGCGGGAGGTGCTCGGGTCCACCACAGTGCAACCGTGGCCACCTATCGCTCGTCGCTGGTTCCATTCGGTGGCCACGGTCCGTGGTGCGTCGACGGATCGGACGGCACGCATTGCCGACTGGAGTTCCCCCGGATGCAGGCTTCTGTGGGCACTTCTTCGAGGCTGGCCTACGTGGTGTGGTCACGGGATTTTGTTTTTGACGACGGCGGTGGTGCTCGTGCTCCTCATTCGGCACATGCTGTCTCGTAGCCGAGGACAAGTTCGCTTTGGACAAGTTCGTTGAGGACAGGTTCGCTGTGGACAAGTTCGCTGAGGACAAGTTCGCTGAGGGCATCTCTTCGGCTCGCGGGCTCGGCTGTCTTCGACTTCTGAGCGTGCTGCTTGCTCGCCGCTTCTGTCCCTGGCCGCGGCAATTAGGCTTGCTTGACCTATGTGACGGCGCGCGGCTCTCCCGCTTGCGCTCTCGAACAAAAAAGTTTTCCCGCCAGCGTCATTAGTTTGGGCTCGTGACCCGGGCTGACTTCGGACGCCGCCAGCGCTTCCGCGTGCGGCCGCGACGGAAAATCCGTGCCAGCCTCTTCGCTATCTTCGCGGCCCGCCGTAGCAGGCTCGGCGTCCGACTCGTTTCGCGCGCCCACGGACCAACGTGCATCCCCGCCAGCTCTTCCCGAAACGATGCCCAGGCGAGTTGCATGGATCAGCGACGTAGAAGAGCTCTAAGTGCAATGAAAGATGGGAGGCGGCCGTCAAGCCGAAGTTCAGGATTTGCCTGAGCTGATCCAGGAGCTAGCCAGGAACAGTCTCGGATCTTTCGATGTGGGAGTCTCTTGGCAGCTTACTTGGGCCGTCTTGGGGCCATTTTGGCAGAATGGCGCGCTCTGTTAGGCCTCTCTTGGGATCCTCTTGAGAGCCTTTGGTGCGCTCTCGGGACCATCGTGGAGGACTGGGGACATCGATCAGATATGAGAGGCGGGTATTTCAATCAGGTTCGCATCTTGGGGCCACCCTGGGGCGCTCTTGGGGCGCTCTTGGGGCTGCCTCAGAGCCCTTCGCGAGGCTCGCTCGGGCCATCTCGGAGGCAGCATCCCGGGGCTTAAGAACTCCATCGGGGGCGAACCCGCGAGGATGTCAAATTCATCGATTTCCTGTGCGATGGAAGAGTTGGGGCCTCTCGGGGTGTCCTTGTGAAATGAACCCGTGTAATGCCCTCATATATACTCCTTATTATCTTGTCTCCTGGCCGTTTGGGCTCAGGTATTGGCATCGATCAGATTGTTGATCGCGCAGGAGGAAACTATCCCCACCTTTCCCTCCTTTGTGCACCTCTGCTCCTTTGTGCAGAGGTGCACCTCCCATCTGTACGGATCAGGGGTTCTGCGCCTTTGTGCTCCAACCCCACGCGCAGGTTATCAGCCCTCAAAGCTCGCCATTCACCGAACCCTGCGTCGCGATCTCGCTCGCAGTCCCGATGGGGCCCAGACGGCGCACGCGCCGTAAGGGATCCTTCGAGGCTTCGCGCCCGAGCTCTCCGACGGCGCGACGGATCGGCGATGAGTTGGAGAGCCTTGGAGGTGACCGCGCGGGCGTCCCCGATCCCCCCCCCCCCCCCCCAGCTCCGACGGACCCGGGGCGCGACTGGCTGCTGAACTTCGCCACCACGCCGCCCGCGAAGGAACAGGGAAAGGAGTGGGAGCAGGCATTGGAGGATTTCACGCGCCTACTTTCGACCCTCCATCTCCTCTTCCTACGTCGGGAGCAATCCCTACTGCGTCGGGCGCAAGCCCCGCTGGCCCCGATACTCCAGGGCGCTTCCGCGCTAACCGACGTTGGAACAACAGCGCTGGCCCAGCCAGTCCCGCGACTGTTCCAGCGTCAGCGCATGTAGCCGCCTTCGAGAAGGAGCTCGGTAGACCAGTGGCGGCACAGCCGCAGACGCAGCATCCCACGGTATCAATCTCCCGTCAGACACCACGCGCACGGCCCTAGCCGCAGCTCGTCCATGCGTAACCGTCGTGAGGCCGCAGGCCCCTACGACGAGACTAGGTCGAGCCCGCGCGCGGCCCCCCAGAGGCCACGCTCTCCTCGCGAGAGGGTGCGCCAGGGAGCAGACGCTCCTCACCTCTTACTCTCAGACGACCTGCCGGCGGCCACGCCCGCTGCAGGTGAACTTGCTGAGCTGCGAGATCAGGTTGAAACCTTTGTGTCCATGCAGTGCTCTGGACTGGCGCAGAGCGTTCAGACGAACGCTGCCAACGCTGCTGCCCTACGCCAAGATTTCGACGGCGCCTTAGCGATCATAGACTCCAGGATCGCTGAAGATCGTCGTATCTTAGAAGAGCTGCAGTTTCAGCCTGCCCGTGAGATGTCATACTCAGGTGAACGGTCTGCGACGGTCGAGAGCCTGCGCAACTACCTTGTGCAGGTGGATCAACAGCTCGTGGTCGTCCGCGACACAGGTGTTTCAGCGGTCAGGATCCTACACGATGAGATCCACGACCAGCTCCGAAACCGACCGCCTCCATCCGAGGCGCACGAGCTCGGCGACGCCCAGTCCCAAATCAATGATCTTCGATCAAACATGGACCACACGACGGCTACGCCTCGTGCTGCTGCAAGTACCAACTCGTCGACCCTGATCGGCATGTTGCAAAATGCTGCGAGAGTCATCGCTCAGAGGCATGATGCGACCGACGCTGTAGTGCAGCCCTCGCTCACCGGACCTCTGTGATCGAGCAGCGTTTACCTGGTGTACAGGACGCCCTGGCAGAGTTGCGTGTCGGGCGAGCCCAGACTGGCCAGCTGGGATCTCCTCCTACGGTCTACGATTTCGCA